AAAAGAGAGATTTTGTTGTCAATTTCCATTATATCTTCGTGATTACAATAAATCAAAAGAAACACCTTTTTCATAAGACTCTTTTACAGCAACAAAAAGAAATTTACAACTCCTTGAGAAAATAAACGAGGATGTTGTTTGGATATGCTTTCGTGGGACTGTTTGGCCTGTGCCAGGGAGAGCTTTGACATCGTGGACCAACAGGTCACAATATTCTGATTGAACCCGTGAGGGTTTATGATTCTATCTAACTTCGTTTACGAAGTGAGAAAATTGAACGATTCTTATCGATGTAAGATAGTCGTTCTTCTTGAAATCAAGTCAAAGCTCAATTTGCAAGGATTGCCGTAAGATCACACCTCTGGCTCTCTCTCTGCTTCTGGATGGCTCTGATTCCAAAAATGAATCAGCCCCCGATCTCTGCTACCCAGCTCCCTTGGACCAAATGCTTTCGGGGGGTATTTTATAACCTCTGGATGAAGCAGTTGCTCGCGAGACAGCATTTGCTGTCTGCGCGCGGGCGAGACAGTTTGCTGTCTCGCTGGGCGAGAACAGTGTTTGCTGTCTCGAACCCGCGAGAACGTAAATACTGTCTCAGAAACGTAACCGCAGCAGTTTTCGTTAAGCTGCCTTCCACACGTTTCAAACTCCGTTATTTGGCAGGTTACACGTGAATTCTCGCCACGACTTTCCCAGTTCTTGAACAGTTAGCTGCCGTGTAGGGCAGTTACAAAGGCGGGTTTTGACCATCTGAAAGCTTGTCTCACGGTGCGCAGACAGCAAAGACTGTCTGCGCGTGGCGAGACAGCTAAAGACTGTCTCGCCGTGGGCGAGAACAGAAAAAGTTGTTCGCAGCCGGAGAGCAGTAAGACTGTCTCGCAGCGGCGAGACAGTAAAGACTGTCTCGCAGGGCGAGACAGTCAAGTCTGTCTCACGTGGCAAGACCGTAAAGATTGTGTTCTTTTCTTCTGCCGCCTTTTTGGATGATTTCCTCTTGAGCTGTATTTGGATATCTTTCAGCATTTTTTGACGCCTACAGCTGCGTTAGGAAAATAATGATGAAAATGGGTAGTTTTAAAGGTTTGGGGGATTTAGGAAAAGGGAGAAGGCGAGACCCCCATCATCAGCATCAATTCTCCCCGGGATCTTGCACAGCGCCTCATCACTCTTCGCCTCGAAGGAGGCGCTCCTCCCCAGCCCTCTCCTCACCCTCCTCTTCCTCGATCTCGGCGTCGCCGCCGACGAAGACCCTCGGACCTCACTCGCTTCGAGATCCGCTCAGTCGCTCCGGATCGCTCAGACCCTCGGCCCTCACTCGTCTTCGACTCTCCTGCTCGGGAACGACGGAGGAGGCGGAGGAGATGGTGGTGGGGAAATCCCTGCTCGGGAACGACGACGACGAAAAAAATGGGGTAATTCTGTTCCCCTCTTGTTCTAGCGAAAAAAATGGGGTAAATTCAGAGGGTGGGGCTGAGAAGAGCTTATATAGTTGGGGTAATTTGGGGGTAAGTGGGGTATTTGTCCCCCATTTATCCCAACAAACCAATAACACCACAAAGTTGGTTCCAGTTCCAAATACCCCAATGAATAACATCAAACATTGTTGTTTCAAAAATTATCTCATTATCCCCAAAATTACACCAATGAATAACCCCCCAAGGGAGTTGATTGGGTTGAAAGAGGTTTGGGCTATCCACGCACCCGACCCGTGATATGAACCTGCATTTAGTCTCAGACACGTGGAGAGATGCCGTGCTGCCAATCCCAGAGCGCCACGTCTCCGTAAATGCTGATTAGGCTCTATGTCTGACGTGCTAGTAAGCCCACTATTATTCCTCACCCACTGTTTTCCACTAAATTACGACACCGACCTTCTTTGTCGTCTCGCATTTATCTCTAAACCGAGGGTCATATTTGTAATAAAAGCTCAGGGGAGTCACAAGAACCGGCGAGCTTTTTTAAATCCCTAGTCTCCGTTCTTGTCTTCTCCGAATCGAAGCGGTGGAGCTCGCTCTGGTGGCTTTAATGTCTTCAATTTCAAACCCTAGATCTGATCTCTGCTGATCGATCCATTGCTCTCTCTCTCTCTCTCTTTGAGCCATGGCCGCTCCTTTCTTCTCAACGCCTTTCCAACCCTACGTTTATCAGGTCAGTTTAGGTTCCCCCCCCAGTTTTACGATCGCTAAGGGTTTTAGATCGTGAGAGATCTGTAATTTTTGTTGGATCCATTTGTGAACTCCTCTTTGTTCAATTATTCAGTAGACTGTCGGTATTGGAATTTATCATGTTTTGGTAAATTTTCTGCGTTTTTTTTGTGTGTTTTTTTTGATATTATTGATGCTTGAATGATTCGGATAAGACTAAATTTTGAGTTCTTACTGCGGTAAGTTTCCATTATGACGAAGTCGCTCCTCTTTTAGCTGTGGCTTACTGTGTTACCTTCTGTGTTCATGTAGAGTTGTAGACACGTTAATTAGCTGAACTTATCTGAAGTTCCTAACTAGAGGTAGGTCTAAAAGAGAACTTGGATATGGGAAGTATACATCCATGTTTTTGTAGTTTTATAATTTGACCAAGATTTAAGCAATCTGTATTCTTATTACACTTACCTTGTGTAAGATGGAGCATAATTTCTTATGATGTAGTCATAGAAGCCGAGGTTGCATGATCTGTTGTAGTGTTATTATTGGTGGAAGTTTTTAAGATGCAGTAATTCAGTTGAGACATAATACGAAGATTATGTGGAAGTTCTTTGTTTTCCAGAAAATCAATTTTTTTTTGCCAAGAAGGTCAGTCAATACACGATTTTCATAAACTTTGGAGTAAGGTAAGGTCTTAGTTTCATGTGAATATGGATGAGTTTGGAAATTTAGTTATAAGCACGATTAAGCCAAAGCCCTTTTATGGCCTCAAATATGTATGGCAAGTATTAAATTGATCACAACATAAAAGGCTTTAGAGGAAATTAATTTTAGTGGGGTTCATCATCTTTGTGGAACTAGAAACCATTATACGGTATTCATTTCCAGGACGGTGTGACGATATGGCTCACTGTAGACTAGTTGATTTAATAGGAACTCTGTGTGGATCACCCATATGGCATCTAAAATTCTCTAGTTTGTGAGTTCTATAGCTTTCAGCAAGAGTCGGTCTCAGATTTTAAGCACTAGATTTACATTTTGTTGGGCTCTTTTAATCTCCATATACACAAAACATACACCATTGCAATTCTCTTTAGGACAGATATTCAACAAAGTTTTGATAGCTGGACCTTATACCAACCAATTTTGTGATACAGGGAGCCGAAGCAGCAGTAACGCCTTTTCAAATAATAGGTGGAGAAGCTCAGATTGTACAGGTGGTTATCCGTATTTACTATGATATGATATCCCTCATAACCGTTGCTTCAATCATATGCTTGTGTTAATTTTGCTTATACTGTTGCTTTCAGATTATGTTAAAATCCCAAGAGAAGGTTACTGCAAAACCTGGTGAGTATTCACTATACTGTTAAGTTATTACGATTTTTTCTGATATTGCTCTTGCTCCTAACTAAACTAGTCAATAAAGGGCATAACTATTTTTCATTGTAACTTTTTTATATCTTTTTGCCCCACGTAAATACTGAAATTAGATTCTTTGTGTCTGCTTTAACAATTCTGATTCTTGATGTGTATTTACTGAAAAATATAGTTGTTGTATTTAGAAGCCAGTTTATATATAATTACTTTGGTGTTTCTATATGTTTATAATTTGATTCCTTTTAGCTGGTGCAATTCAATAATTTACGAGATAAGATTAAAGCTATATGGCTTTATCCTCTGATGCCCTAAAAATGGCAGAATGCTTTCCTTGTCCTGTTTTGTAAATACTCATCCTTGACCCATGCTCAGCATCCTAAGTTGGATTCCAAATGAATTTTAGGTACCATGTGTTATACGTCTGGGTCTATTCAGCTGGATAACATCTATTTACCCGAGCATGAAGGTGGTGCATTGCAATGGCTTCTTGGCAAGAATGCAACTAGCATTGTTCTTTCAAATTCTGGAGGTGATAATGGCTATGTTGGAATTGCAGCACCGTCTCCTGCAAGGATACTCCCGGTCAGTATGTTAGCAAGTATATAAGGAATTTCTTTGCTTAGGTCATGGTGCATTATGGAAATTTGTAATTATAAAACTGTATAAACCAATTTGCATTGTTTTATCATTTCTGCAGAAACTCTGGTCACATGGAAAATTCTATTTCTTGCCTTTCTACTTTACCTCTCCTTGTATAAGAAATTTTTTGGAATTTTTGCGAGTATCATATATGTAGGTTTTATTGCTGACAGTTGCCATTTTTATTGTTTATTCTAACTTATGTTTTTCGTTTTTGTAGATTGATCTAGCAAACTTTGGTGGAGAGATTCTTATTCAGGTATGTACTTTTGTTTTTTTAGATGTAAATCCCAGTCGCCATTTTTCTTGCCTTGATAACTATATTCTCTTTGCCATCATCCCCATATATGGATAATTTCATTGCATATTGACCCTCTATCAAATGTGTATCACACTCATAGAACTATAAGTTGACTACTGTCAGTATTTTATAGTTTCCAACTCATGCTTCATATCATGTGACCTTTCCATCTTGATTTTTCCTTGGTTGATGGAATTTGAGGAGTTGATGGTCTGTTGCATATGGTTAAACTGCAAAACCGAAGTAGGCATACCTATCAACTGGCCATCAAAATTATATGCCATGACCGTTTTAATGCTATATAGTTGTTTTTTGCAGATATATGTTGTGACTCGTGGAGGATTAACTTTTGGCTCACAACAAGAAACATTATAACTTTTCATCTTGTTCTCGAGCATTATAAACTTTGTTGTACTCTGCCATAGTCAAACCCATTTTGGTGGAAGATTTCATTGATTAGGATTGTATTTGCTAGTATTGGAGTTCTGATTTTTTTTATTTGACATTCAAATTGTTCAGCATTTAGAAACATTTTATGGGCTTGGATCTGTCCATCAGTACATATTTGAGTACCTAGATTGACCATTCACATTTTTCTTCAACATTTAGTTCCCAATGGATATCAGATTTATCTCATGTCCCCTGTAATCAGCATGACCTATCATGCATTCACACTTAACATGCTGAGCGTTACATATGCATTCATATGCTGAGTCATTGTTTCTCTTATTCATAGTTTAAATTGGACCCATGCAATTTGTGCACTATAGCCTATGCAGGTAAGTATTGTGCACATCCTTTATGTTTGACTCCATTAATCCATTTGCTGCATAATTATTTGTAAGCTTAGCCAGACATTGCTTTTTAATTTTGTAGCCGATAGTCATAGTTGCAGTACAGTATCAATGAGTGGTAGCCACCCCAGATCAACTGCTAGCAAACAGGCTGTGTGTTTGACTTTGTGTATGAAAAATGAGAAGAGGATCTGGACCCTATTTGCATCTTGTCTGTAATAGTATTTAGTGGTGTGAGATTATATAGACTGAAAGACCCAAAGCATATTTTTATTAAAAAAATGCAAGTGCTTTCTGCAATTCGCTTTTTTGAATGACTGAGTTACATTTTGTGCATTTCTAATTTCATCTTTGGAAGAGGATGTTTCACATTTCTAAAATTGGTTGTTGTAGCCAGATGCATTTCTTTGCTCCGTCAATGACGTAACAATCAAAAGCTCAGTGGACCTAAGAGCCCGTAATGTTTTCTCTGGTTCAGAGGTAAGATCTTGTTGCAATTTGTTTTCATCTATAAGTTAGCTGACAGTCACTCCCGAGTCCTGAGCACCATCTGTTTTCAACTTAAACTTGGCATACTCCCTCATTTTATGTGTGTGTTTGCACATTTCTTTATTTATTAATAATCATGGTTCTTTTGTTTTTTTTAAGGTATTTCTGAAACAGAAGCTTGTAGGTCAAGGGCTTGCTTTCCTTGTTGGTTGTGGATCTGGTACATATACAGACCTTAACTTCATGTTGTTGATAACTTGATATCATGCTTTCCTAAGCCTCTTGTTTCATTAAATTTGGTAATAGTAATTTTAGCAGTTTAGTGCGGAAGAAATGAGATAAAGAAAATATCAAGCAACAACTAAAATCTAGTCTGATCCAATCCAATCCACATCACCCCTCTTTGTTAATTTACTCTAGAAGGCATTGCTGACTATTATCTGCTTCTGGGAGTGAAATGCTTAGTAGTAGATGATAACTACTTTTGACCACTAGATGGTAGTTACTTTTACTGAAAATGTTTCCATTACCTTAAAATTTAGAAGTGAAATGCGTAGTACTTTATTATTTTATATTGGTTCCTGCTGCAGTTGTTGTAAAATATCTATTTCAGCAATATAGATTTGGAGCACAGCCTTTGTAAGCCCTTAGCGACAAAATTATCTAGTCTCACCATGTCATTTGCCCTTTTTGGTTCATATCCTCTCTCATATAATTGACTTTGTGACTCACTGTATTTGTTCTCCCTTTTCTTTTGCCTAGTTGTACAGAAAATCCTTGATGTTGGGGAGGTTGTGGTAGTTGATGTTGCCTGCATTGTGGCCATGACAAGTACCATTGATTTCCAATTGAAGCAATCCAATCCTGTAAGAAGGACGATTTTTGGGGTGAGTTTATTTTTCTCATGGAACTGCATTTTTAATGGGTGAAATTTTTTTGGAAACTTGTAAAAGTGGCTTGAGTGATTATTTGAGAAAACCGACAGTTCTACATGGTCGATGAATGGGATTTCAGATTTTTTAGAAATTTTAAGTTTTAACTCCAACTACCATATGCCTACTGAGTGGATTTTGAGGTATTAGTCAAATCTGTTGCTGGCTGATAACGAATTCTCACTATTTATCTGTAGTCTAGATTCTTGTTGATTGGAAAGTTACATCTAAAGTTTATCATTTTCATGATTAAAAATTCTAGTATTTTAGAGGTGCTAGCGGCAAACGTTAGGGGGGAAATATCTACTCTCACCATTATGTTTTAGTAAAATCAGGACAGGAAGTAGATTAAATGGAAGTGGTTGGTGACTTAGTGTTGAGCTTCGTAAAAGTATATTCCGATTATCGACACATCTATGGATGTTATCCAAGTCAAAACTTTTTTTAAGAAAAGGATTCATATTGGATTCAAGTGACAATTCACGTTTATAAATTACTGTTTCTTAATTTTTTAAAAGCTGTCAACAAAGCAAAAGTTTCATTACTATTTTTATCCATTCAATTATCCTCTTATATTATTTGAAGTAGTGTTCATATGCTATTTACTTTTCATATATAGATTCTGAATTATGTTTTCTGTTTTTGTTTCACAGGGTGAAACCCAGTTTACAGCTTCGTTAACGGGACCTGGCATTGTCTTCATTCAGAGTTTACCCTTCCATCGGCTTTCTCAGCGGATTGCCAGGCAAGATTCTTTTTTCCTCACTTTTGATTGGCATCATAATGTTGGCTGTATAATTTCAATATCACCAACTTCTATTAGGAAAATGAACTCCAGTTCATCAATGAATTGAATTCAACTATAAACCAACAAAATAACAATTTGAGAATTGAGACCAATTCATCTAATAGTGCATATTAACCAAGCAAGCAACGAGTTGCATTTCAATACACAAATAATTTTAGATGATGACCCTTACGCATGAATTTCTAACAATAGTGTACATAGAGACCTCTAGACTGGCTAGAGAGATTGACAGATGGGGGATAGGTTAAAGCAAATTTGAGCAATATATAATAATATTACAAGAGCTACTTGATTATAAAGATTTGAGATTATGTATAATTAACAATCGTCATCCTGTGGTATTTGAAAATAAGCTAGTACTTCATTGAAGAATTAGTTAGAAAAAAGCTGATTGTGCCAGTGTATGCTGGTTGGATTCTGTAGACATCAAAGGAAGATTATATTGTTATATTTGACAAATAATCACTATAAATCCGATTGTTTTCCTTTGCTCAATCACTAAATTACTAGGTGCCCTATTAAGATCACATTCCACATGCACATAAAAAGAGAAGAAAATTGGCATTGATCGCTAAGAAGAAAGTAAGAGAACCTAACAGCCCTCATAAATGTTAAGTTTAATGATAACAACAAGGGTAAATTTTACAAACTTACCCTGCGAAACCTTTTTCTGAAAATTAACGTAAATTTATGTATTTCAATTTTATTAGCATGAAACCTAATGACTAATGTCTAGTATTTTTCCATTGTAAGTTCTTAAAAATGTGGCAGAGGTTTAGGAAAGTGTATGATTAAGTGATTGAGGGACTAATATAATATACCTACATTTTTGTCATGGAGCAGATTTGAGTGCTTAATGGAAGTTCGTGATAGTATCGTAGAGTATACATAGCCTGTAGTAATTTTGTTAAAAGAAAACATGAAATATCGGTGCTAGTTTCTTAAATTATCTTAATAATAAACTTGGACTTCAGACCACTTTTCGATTGTAGATGTTGTGCACTTGCAAAAACCCAAAAGAATTAATTGCGGATGGACATCCTGAACTCTCGCCAAATTGAATTAACTACCCTTGTGTTTGTATTGTTGCTGCGGATAAGATCCCTTGAGCGAAAATCTACTGTTGCAGATGGACCTCCTGAAAAGTGGTCAAATAAATTCACTTAGGGGTGTATCTGCAATAATAGAACTATAATGGCAGTATGATTTTAGCAATAGTAAGGGGGTCTCTATCAGCAATTAACCCTTACAAGTTGATTTTTCTAATTCTGATTAGACTACATTTTATGTTTTTTTTCTCCCGCAGAGCGGTGACGCCCCCAGGCATGAGAGAGAGTCCGAAGTTCTTCATTCAGATTGCTATTTTCTTCTTTCTGGCCTATGTTATGATTGTATCGTCTCTGATTTTAACTGATATGTAGTGCCCCTCACTCTTTTCTTCACAGAAAATTTGTATTGTTCCCTACTCTCATATAGGTGGTATAGAGGTCTTTGAGATAAAAAAAAAAGTAGGAAAAATGTTGTAGCTGTTGATGCTTGATCGGTTCTTAGGGAGCCACCATAGATTTTAAAATA